GTTGACAGTGGCGATCAATTTATGAAGAAATATATGGCAACATACCATACTTTGCTATTGGTTTTATATTTTCAGTTGATACGAAAGCTCGTTTGTTTATACTTTACTTAGCTTTTAATCTAGAACTCCCGAAAAGTCGAAAACAGATTAAAACGTCTTATATCTATTTTTTATGTGGATACATTTTTTTGTTGAAAGTGATAAAACCAACCAACATATGGTTTCCTTCAAGCTAATAGCGTACATATTTAACTATAAAGCATGCAAACCAAAGTTACTTGTTAAAAGTAAATATAGTAATTTCGAATTCTGGTCCACGCACACTACTATTTGTAACGGTATACCAATATTAATATTGGTAATGTATTCACTCTTATTAGAATTATTCATGAATGAGATAATAACAGTAAAATTACAGTGTAGGGATCTCAGATGATTTCTCTCCTAATAAGAAATATAGTTCCATACTACGTATAATTTAATGTCTACAGTTGTAATTTTTTGCTTAATTATAAGCTTCTCCAAAGTATACTAGAAATTTGAAATGTTTAACAAATAGGTAGAAATACTTACACACCTAGGTGTACTGAAAACGGCTATTTCGTTCATACTCTTTCCCATCTATGCTGAGTAGCATTCAAGATGATCAATAAGTACATTTACTGTTTTGAACCACGTGCTATATTTTAACTATTGCACACAGGCATGTGGTAAATATTCAAATATTCTTTTTTTACGACCTTTAGATACACAAAAATAGCAATGAAAAATAACCTTTCAGATTTATCAAGGTTTCCGAAAAATACAAATAACACTATATTCCGATAGCTCAATGCAACAACACTGGTCAAAATTTCTCACTTTAGGTTAAATTTTTTCAAAAAAAAATGCTTGTATGATTACTGTCGGCTCTTAAATTAAATCAAATTAAAGCATTTGAAGAGCGTTGCGTTAAATTTTTCTTCATCGTTTTGGTAAAGGATATATATATCAATATTTACGATGAAACAATCATGTCCGCTCGTGAGCTTCTTTAGAAACCCTAAGACTCGAATAAGAAAAAAGGCAGATTTCCATCAAACTAGATAAAGACTTAATATTCATGAAAGCAGGAGAGATGGTTCTGCTAGATCTTAAAACTATGGGATGAGCTTGCCAATATATAAATTCATAAACACACAACGTGAATCAATATATGATTAATTCACCTTTCTAACTGCTGACCAATTTAAAGTTTCGGAAAAATGTTTAAATTTTAGTGTTAGATCATTATCGATACAACTGTTATACTGTCATTCCTTGAACGTATGGTGTATATTTTTATATAATGATTAATTAGTGTCCTAGGATAGAGGTAGACACGAATTCACCACAGAAACTCGTCAGCTCATTAGCAAGTATAAGCTAAGCAAGCTAAAGCGTGATACTTGTATGTTTCAATGTGAATTTCCAAGTAAAAAAGAAAATCTGCTTTCGTCGGTTCATAACAAACAGCTACTTTGTCTTTTATGATTAAATATTACTAATGTTTGCTCTAAATGACACATATGAATAATAATTCTAACAAATTTGTTTTTTAAATAAACTATGGTTAACATGTACCGTTAAAAATTTGGTATGTATATTTTGTGAAGTCTCCAGTTGATCCGATTTTACTAGTTTTGCGCATTATGTTTAAATTCATCCTCTTAACACTAAACACACAAAACTGAATGACCAATTCTGTTATTAACAGTGGCAGTCTCACGGATCTTCTTCAGAGTTTTTCATACACCTCCTACCTAAACATGGAGAATCCTTAACGAGCTCAAACTTTTACACGCCTGTCATTCTGTATTTCAATCCTGGAAGCCATGAATTAATTAATACTACTGCTACTAGACACAGTCTTTGTCTATCTGTCTATCTCTCTGGTAGGTATTTTGGTTTTAAACCAGCGGTACCCAGAAATTCAAGATTTATCTTCGTTTACT